AAAAAATTAACATCTTCCACAAAGGAAAAACAATCATCGCTGAAAACTTTGTGAATAAATAATCAAGAGATAAAGAAAAGAGAGAAGAAAAGATCATCCCAAATCGTAGAAAAAAATATCATCGCTGAAAACTTTGTGAATAAATAATAACAAGATCATCTCATCCCAAACTTTGTGAAGATTCTTCTACGTTAATCTTCTCTGATCCAGATCGAAATCATCCCAAACTATTGAGAAAAGATCCAAAGAAAATTATAATAAGAGATGGGAGAACGTAGAAGAAAAGAGAGAAGAAATTTTTTAGATTTGGGGCTTAGGACATGTGAGGAGGTTTAACAGAGTTTGTAAAAATTTTAACATAATTTTTGATTTGAAACAATTATAAAGTACAAGGGGTTAATTGAAACAATTAAAAGTACAATGGGGTAATTTAAAACATGGTCAAAGTTCAAAGGGGTAACTTATATTTTAGCCAAAAAAAAATTATCCGATCTTACTCACCTATCTGGACGATTAAACGACTCCAAACCAAATACAATTACTCTACTCATAGGGTAGGATTAAATGTTCAAAGAAAATGGAACTCAAAAGAGGAATCATGTCTTAAATTTTTTTTTTTTTAATATAATGGGAGCACTAAAATTTGAACCTATTACTTAATGCAAACTATCCAAACCACCTCAGCATTAGAGCAATACTAATGGCTTATGTGTTAAATTATTTTAGTATACGCCTCTTCTGCGCCTATATTTTGATGCGGAAAGAATATAGAAAAGTTGGTTAAGCAGAAAGAAAGGATACAATAAAAGAATAATCATCTGGTTTTCAATTTTTAATTATCAAAATAACAAAATTCAACTTCTAAAATAAGGGTCATAAACATCCTTTTAAAGAATAATTACAAATTTATCCAAAATTTAAAAATATAAAATCTTAAAAATAAGAAAAATTCATAACATAAATATAACGGTAACTAATTTTAAAAAATAAATAAATAATTATAATTAAATCATTCAAAACACATCCCAAATCTTAGATCTTAAATTATGTTAAATGTGTTTTTTTCCTTCTCTTACCAAACAAAACACAATCATATTTGTTGCTTTATTGGGACTTGGATTTAATTAGGGGTGTTCATCAACCGATCCAAACCGATTCAAACTGCGGTGACCGAACCGAAAAACCGATAACCGAATAAACCGAAAACTGAAAAACCGAATGCCGATTAAAATCCGCAAATTTTAATTGGATTGGATCGGTTTTTGGATGGGTTGATGACAACCGATCCAATATATTAATTTTCCTCTACCTACTTGGGTATTTCCCTAATCATAGCCTAAAACTTTATAAACCCAAGACTCATTAACCCATCAACTAAACCCAAGAAAAAATTGGCTGTGAAAATAGGGTAAGAAAAATACATGCCCATGTTTGGTAAGAGGAAGAGTTAAAAGGGGTATGGAAAAGAAATTTTTCAATCTAATCTTTTTACACATGGATCATACTCTGAATTTTGCCAACGATGGAATGAAAAAAAAAATTCATTCGCGGTGGTAAAATTTTACACATAACATCAGTAAAATTCATTCAAATTTTTCGGAAAAATTTAGCCTACCATATACATTTTTTTAACTTACCCGGCAAAAAATTCGTCTCACCATCATATTTCGAGCAAATTTTTTTCTAGTAAAAAAAAATTCTCCTATACCAAACGCCCCTTAAGATTTTTTAAAATGTCGGTTCTATATAGCTCATCACATCAGGAAGAAATATCTAAGATTAAGTGCAGTAATGAGGTAAAGCAAATCATATTTTGGCAAATTTTTTAATTTTATAACTCTTAGAAAGTTATAATGTTGGTATTTAAAAACTATAGCAAAAGTAACCCATCATTATCCATATTTTTATGATTATTTTTTTCCAATATTTTCCCCCCTTTTTCGATAAGGGAATATGGATACCTACTCACCTTGCAGAGAAAATGTTCTCTCTAAGCTACTAAAATTGATCTAATAACGAGGGGTTTAGATATGTCACGTTAGGTTGTGTATTTAGTTCTCACTTGTATCAACAAAACAAAAAAATGTGCTCCCTCATCACTTTCCAAACAACTAATTAATTTCAGACTTAAAAATATATTCACAAATATAATAAAGTCACCATTCTAATTAATAATTTAAAATTCTAAAAACATTCCATGAAATTAAGTAAAGGAATTAAAAAAAAATACATAAATATTTTGATAAAATACTAATGCATATATTCAAATTGTACAGTGCATCCAATCATGCATATACATTAAAATTTATTTTTTTAATTTTCAATTCACGTTATTTTACATTTAATTTTTATATTTTTTTAATTTATCTTAAATTATTGAAGATTTACAATGTGTAAAGGTATAAATTCTTCAAAGACTTGTGGAATTATTTTTAGAGAATTAGATTTAAAAATATGACATCAACATATTTAATACAAGTTTTGTTTACCAAAAAAAAAAATACAAGTTTTAAACTAATATTTTAGACATTATTAATTCAACAGAAAATATCTTTTTTTCTTTTATTTTGTGTCCCATATTTTTTTTTTAATACAATAATAAGAGCTGAGTATCTTGCATAAGTTATCTTAAAATACGTCCAATATTCAATTTTCACTCTCACAGACTTTCCTGGCTATTTGACCATTTTGCACCTCATTAATTAATTAATAACCATTTTGCTCCTGATTTGAAATTATCTACCAATCTGCCCCTCTTTAATCGACTAACTTGAATTTTTAATCGACTAAATGGTTGTTGGGAGATTTAATCGACTAAATCTCCCTACTTAATCGATTAAAAAATCATACTGACTTGTTTTCCTTTGTTGTCTGTTGGGAGATTTAGTCGATTAAATAGAGAGATTTAGTCGATTAAATCTCCCAATAGCCATTTTTGCCTGTTTTGACCATTTAATCGACTAAAAATGCAAGGTAGTCGATTAAAGAGGGGCAGATTGGTAGATAGTTTTGAATCAGGGGCAAAATGATTATTAATAATTAATAAGGAGCAAAAGGGTGAAAAAACCGACTTTCCTTCTACTTCTTTCCCGCAACTTTTGATTTTTTTTTTAATTTTTTTTTTATTTTTAATTTTGTATCCAAAAAATATTAAATGCTAAGAAAACGTACTTTAAAATTTATCCAAAAATAACATGAAGGGAATATTGTTCCTCATAATGTAATCATATGCTTCGGTAGAAAAGCCTCCTAAGTCCTAAGATTTCTTAACTACAATAAAATGAGTGATACATCTTTATAGTAACAGTACCAACGGCTCCAATTACATTGTCTAAGTGTGGCGTCTGAAAATGTGAACATCAAACACTGCATCTTCTCTGTTGATGAGCTCAAACACACAAACATCTCCAACTACCAATTTACATTCTTTTACAAATTGGAACCAACCTCCAGAAAAAAAGGAGGCAGAGTTGTGTGGATAACATAGGAACTTGATAGGCCACACTTTCTTTCCACACCGTAACTTCACAATCTGTGTCTTGTTATCGAAGTACTCTCTTACGACTGCATCAAGTTAAATTTTCATCACCATTAGATCACAGCCTAATATTTAATGAGAGTATAACAATAACTGCATTTTTGATGCATGCATATATGGAATAAAGTTCCCATACAGATACATGTGTTTAATTTGCTTCTTAACTAAAACCTCACCGGTCTAGATTGAATTCCCGGCCTCACTTTGACTGTGAAAAAGGGATTTTCTGAGGCAAATTTATCAGCTTCTTTCAGAGCTCCATTTGTGTTGGGGGAGGTACCATCCACATCCTCTGAAAAAATTGAACATGGGTGAAAGTTATGAAAATTTGAACTCAAATACTCAAAAGAATCCATTAAAATAAAAGGATAATCCGATCATGAAATACATACCATCCAATTCTTTCTTGACAGCTGCCATTTTAGATTTACCAAAGTTTGTCCCTTGAGACCGATCACCTGATCTTGTGCTAGTTTTCAATTTGTTACGTGATTGAGGACAAGCCACTGGTGATTTCAGTCTAGTGTTCTGGCATGGTGGTTGCCCATATTGAGTGCCACGGAAAGGAAATCCTATTACAAGGGTACTCTTGTTAAGTATGAGTAATTCGTGAAATACATGAAATGAAATGAAAAGGATAATCCAATCACGAGAAACATACCATCCGATTCTTTCTTTACAGATGCAAACTTAGACTTCTCAAAGTTTGTGCCTTCAGTTTGGGCATGATGGGGCAGATTTTGCTCAGTGGATCTTCTCTCCACACCTCCACTTGTGTCAGATCTTGATTTTTTACGTGGTTGAGGAGAAGGCATTGGTGATTTTTGTCTAGTCTTATGGCGTGGTGGTACCGTATCCAAAATTTTAATTGACTCATCATCACTAGTCTGGTCAAGGTTGTCCTGTGCATCTTGAGGGACATCCAAAGGATAATCTATTTCAAGGGTACTCTTGTCAAATATGTGTACCTCAAAATTACAAGTTTGCTTGTATTCAAACAACAGCAAATGACCATGATCCAGGGAGTAATATGTGGCAAATTCTATCCAACCCCTTTGAAGCCAAATATCACCATCATTTTCAGTCCAAAATACTTCCCATTTAGTGCCATCTGGAGGCTTAAGAAACATTGGGTTTGACATGTCACCACCATATTTCCTAATGAATTTTTTTGGGATCCTCTGCAAAGAACTTTCTGTTAGCATGCATAATGAAACTCACAGGCATATATAACACAGAAATTCAAATGTACCTGACAATAAAAATCCAAAAAAATAAAATAATGAAAATACACGGAGAGAAAAAAGGAGATGAAGGAAAGGACGTTTACCAGCTTTCCTTCTTGAAGACTTGTTCCAGGAATAATCTTGAAGAAACGGATTGGAGTGGGGTCAGGGTGCTTACTCATGGATGTTGCTACTTGTGTTCCACCCTCTCTGTGTGTGTTTGCTTTGTGGCAAAAAATTGTAGTTTTATCAAAACACCAATCATGAAATTCAAATTTTTTTCTTGCACGAAAATAAACAATATAAGCGTGAATTCCTATGAGATAAACTAGCTCTTGCACGAAAATAAAGACGATATTCACATTATCACTACCCGCTACATGTAAGCACAATTGATTGATATCACTATCCAAAGATACACAAATGTTACCAAACCAAGTGATAGTAGCATGATGCATGCATGGGATGACACATGACAGAATAGTTAATTCCAAAAAAAAAAAAAAATTATATACATATTGGGACAGGGAGAAGAAGGGGTTCTAAAGCTAACCTGAAAGTGAAAGAAGCTAGTAGAGATGTAGAGAATGAAAATTAAAGAGTGTGTAAAGGAGGAAGAGAGAACATGTAAAGGGGTGAAGCATAAAGAAGGCAAAGGGAGTAACAAGTTTTTATAGGCAAACATAAAAGAGAAGCGAAAAAACAGTTCCACGGCCTTTTTTTTTCAATCAAGAACCCTTTTTTTCTCTATATGTTGTGATCTTTCCTCTCTCTTTTTTTTTCAAAAATAAATAAATTTGGTGTGTATCTTTTCTTGTTCTCTGTTGAGATCTCCCGGTCCTTTTTCTGAGCATGTGTGAGGCATGCTATTGAGATGTCTGATGGAGTGGCGGTAAGAAATTTCAAAATAGGATTATATGAAATTAGAATACTAAAAGATTCAGACTTACTCCTTGAAGACATCATTCGTGATTTCTTGAAGTCTTCTTGTTTCCTCTGATAATCCTGCAATAGAAAGACCAGGATCTTCCTCTGCAATTCACACCAATCCCTGAATACAACCGTCGATGGGGCGAGTTGTGTAGTGACGGTTTTCTAACACATTGTGAATGCAGAGGGACCTAGCCAAACTTATTAACCCTAGTCCCCTTCTCATCATGGGCCTATGGGTTAGGCCTACACTGTTACCCACACTAATCAGATATTCAAACCCAAATCAAAATGATTACTAATTAACAATCAGGTCATAATCCTTGAATTAATTCTGATTAAATTTCCATTTTCCTCATAATTCCACCAATCAATCAGGTCATAATCCTCTAATTAATTCTGATTAAATTTCCATTTTTCTCATAATTCCACCAATCAATCAGGTCATAATCCTCTCATTAATTTGATTAAATTTCCATTTTCATCAAACTCTATACAAATCAAGGAATGCATTCATGACGCCCGCGCGGTCAGTGCCAAATTCGCGACTCCACAAATCAAGGACTGCATTCATGATGCCTGCGCGATCAGTGCCAAATCCAAGCGGATCGCGCGGACAAACAGAATGTAATTTGCCAAAATCACGCAGATCGCGCCATTTTCGCGCGTTTGCACTAGACTATGCAATTTCAACTTCTCTCTTTAACTTCTTTTTTGTGTTTCCTGCTATCAAAATGAATAAATTGAGTGAGAGAATGATTGAGAAGGAATAATCAATATTTCTTGCATTTATGAGCTTATTTTCACACATTTATTATTAATTCCTTGCTTCTTTTACTTAGAAATCACCATATCTTAGACGCATATCACTCACCCAAATAAGGCATCAAACCCAACATAAGTCTCAACATCAACAACATAATAATAAGACGGAAAACATAAAAAGTATCTAATCCAGTCATGTCAGCATAAATATAACATCAATATCAGCTAAGCTTTGGCCTCCTGCCGCTAGAGGCATCACCCCCCAAACTACCCGAACCTGAAATAAGCGCCCCCAAACATGGGGTGAGATCTCTAAACAAGAAATCTCAGTAAGACAAGGGGTCCTCCAGGATCTTCCACCCCAAGCTCACTTACATGTGCAATATAAGTTCAAAAACAGTTTATCATCATCAGTTCTAAGATAGTGCAATGCAACAGATAATCATGTCATGTGTGTCAATTCTATTCTACTGATCAGAGAAATGCAGGAATACGTCTATTACCCACACAATATGCAAGACGCTACTTGCACCCACCCATGGACTCACCATCTTGTATGACGCTACATACTCAGGCTTACCGACTAAGTGGAAACAACACATACATATTATAAGCCATTGCACATATCAGCTCAAAAGCATTTCAAAATATCCAAAGCATGTAACACAGCATGCATATAAACCATTCCCCCATGGGGTATGGTGGAACCACAACATGGATAAACCAAGGACACGAAAGCTTACCTTGCAAGCTAACAATCCAAGCCAAGAGTCCAACCAAAGCTCACAGTCCAAACACAGCAGAATCACAATCTGATTTGGACCAGCAATCATAACAATAAACATAGCTCATAAGCATAAACATAAAGACAACGCTTCTCTTTTACGTTTTACGTCTTAAGGCTTCACACAAAGCCACAAGCCCTTAATCACTTGATTTTGACTTAGTCCAATTATTATAGAAGTTCAACTTCCTCAAACTAGGGTCCACAAACCCCAAACATCAGTTCTGGATGAACAGTAAACCATTGTTCCTTGAAAACCCAGAATATCCGGATATATGTCGGGGACATATCGGGATATCAATATCATATCCGGATATCCATATCCAGATATTTCGCGACAGAATGCAGTTTCTGCATTTCGCGAAGATATTCATCCAAGGTTCCATTTTTAACACTTCCAAACGTCAAAGCATGCATTTTTACTCTGTTCAAGTTTCATATATCAGTTGGTTACTTGTTTAACTCCTTAAACATACCAAGACACCTCTTTTAATCATCAAAACACATGATCAAAGTTGAGTCACTTACCCAAAGCTTAAAACAGAACAAAAGGTTGCTCTTGGAGGTCACAACCAGCTCCCAAGATTCTGACTTCCCAAAGAAAACGAAAATGATGCTCAAGGTTGGTTCTTTCACCTCAAAGGTCACTACTTGGACCTCTAAATGCCATGACCATGGCTTCCCAACACCCAAACCACACAAGGTCAGCACCCTCACCAACTCACAGTGGCTGGAAACTCAGAACAAGGCCACCAACACACTGCCAATGCCCACTCTCACTCACCACATGTGATTAGGAGAAGTTTTCATGAAGGAATATTCCTCAAAGCTCAAGAAATGGAGGAAGGAAGGAAATGGAGCAATGAGGGAATGCTGGTCAGCCACCAAAGTCACGTATGAAGAGTATATGGCCTAGGGTTTTGTGCAAAAATGTTATATATATAGCTCACTTAAACCTTAACACACAGTATTAACGTTAATTGCTACGCTTAGCATTTTAATCCCAAACTCAGGATTCTGAACCTACTCAATTTTACAGGATTTAACATATTTTTCTTATATTTTTCGCAGCACCTTTTCGGTACGCGCTTTTCCATAGCCAGTATCAGTTCTGGCACCAGCTCCCATTATTTTAACTTGAAACTTGAAATCACAGTCCTGCATATTATTCTAGGAATATTCATGCACTTATTATAATTTTCTGAGATACTTCATCGGTACGCATTTATACCGGGTAGCAGAATCGGCATCTGCATTTTTCGTCAGAAAAGCGACTTTCAGCATTATTACTCACTTACTATAATTATTAAAGCCTCGTAATAATTATTAGGGTCAATTATGGAATTGTTTTCTAATTTCACATAATTAATTAATTAACTTCCTTAATTATCGGTGCGGGTTCTTACAATCGGTATACTTGCCGTAATTGCAACAGCTTGTCGTTGATCTAACGTTCCATGACGAAAAAAATTTATATTATTTTATGTTAAAAATAAAAATAAAAATAAAAATAAGAGCAAACTAAGGATTGGCTCAACTAAAAATATATCATACGCGACTCGGTCATTGACCCGGTCGATGGATCATCGATTGAATCATATGATCCGGGTTAGTATATAAAAACCTATATTTTATACATAAAAATACTTAAATACATGTAAAAAATTATTATACAAGGCTGCAAACATATATAATTTTGTAGGTATGAAAGAAAGTTATATATGGTAACCACAAATAGTATATTATAAAAGAAATAAACATAAAAGAAAAAAAATTCAAATATCAGGTAATCACATATAATTTCTCTATCAAATATCTTCAACTAAGTATATTTAATAATTATAAGACATTTACCAACAACTCTTCCCATAAAAATTAATTTCTAAGGAATCAATATGTCACCTTCTCTTAATCTACTGTTCCGCAGATTACTTCAATCTTTGAAGCTGAAATTTGATGTCACTATAGGAGAGCAAACTACTAGCAAACAAAACTACAAAAAAATTTGAAAGAAGTTCCACACTTTTTTAAGACAAGATAAGAAAACTTTGATTTTTTATTTTTTATTTAACAAAATTGTGTGACCCACCAATTTTGATAACCTGACCAGGTCACTAGTTTTGATAAAACTCAGCCGGTTCAAGCCAGTTTTCATCGAGTCTAATAAATGGTTGATTCGATACTTGATTCGAAACGGTCAGATGACTCATAACCAGTTCACCGAATTTCGGATTGACTCAGCTGGTTTAAACCAGATCTGATAACACTGATATAAACCTCGGGACAAACGAAAGACTCTGTGGTAATACTCGCCCCAAGTAATTAGGTCATGAAATTCAAAAAATATGAATATCAAAATAATTAGGCTTAAATATAAGTTATCTCCTTGAATTTTGACCATGTTTCAAATTACCTCCTGTACTTTTAATTATTTCAATTAACCCCAAGTACTTTATAAATGTTTCAAATCAACAATTCTGTTAAAAATTTTACAAACTCTGTTAAACCTCCTCACATGCCCTAAGCCCCAAATCTAAAAAATAATTTCTCTTTTTTCTTCGACGTTTTCTCATCTCTTATTACAATAGTTTGGTATGATTTCGATTTGGACCGGAGAAGATTACTATTTCTCTTTTCTTCTGTGTTCTCCCAAGATCTCTCTTAAAAAAAATTAACATCTTCTACAAAGGAAAAACAATCATCGCTGAAAACTTTGTGAATAAATAATCAAGAGATAAAGAAAAGAGAGAAGAAAAGATATCCCAAATCGTAGAAAAAAAATATCATCGCTGAAAACTTTGTGAATAAATAATAACAAGATCATCTCATCCCAAACTTTGTGAAGATTCTTCTACGTTAATCTTCTCTGATCCAGATCGAAATCATCCCAAACTATTGAGAAAAGATCCAAAGAAAATTATAATAAGAGATGGGAGAACGTAGAAGAAAAGAGAGAAGAAATTTTTTAGATTTGGGGCTTAGGACATGTGAGGAGGTTTAACAGAGTTTGTAAAAATTTTAACATAATTTTTGATTTGAAACAATTATAAAGTACAAGGGGTTAATTGAAACAATTAAAAGTACAATGGGGTAATTTAAAACATGGTCAAAGTTCAAAGGGGTAACTTATATTTTAGCCAAAAAAAAATTATCCGATCTTACTCACCTATCTGGACGATTAAACGACTCCAAACCAAATACAATTACTCTACTCATAGGGTAGGATTAAATGTTCAAAGAAAATGGAACTCAAAAGAGGAATCATGTCTTAAATTTTTTTATTTTTTTTAATATAATGGGAGCACTAAAATTTGAACCTATTACTTAATGCAAACTATCCAAACCACCTCAGCATTAGAGCAATACTAATGGCTTATGTGTTAAAATATTTTAGTATACGCCTCTTCTGCGCCTATATTTTGATGCGGAAAGAATATAGAAAAGTGGGTTAAGCAGAAAGAAAGGATACGATAAAAGAATAATCATCTGGTTTTCAATTTTTAATTATCAAAATAACAAAATTCAATTTCTAAAATAAGGGTCATAAATGTAACGCCTGGAAACTTGCAAGGATTAACGACTGTCCCCACACACTAACACGATACTTTTCAGCGTGCTTTGTCCTCACTCGCACACTTCCCGGGAAAACTTCCCAGGAGGTCACCCATCCCAGAATTGCTCCAAGTCAAGCACGCTTAACTGTGGAGTTCTTCCGATCTGGGCTACCGAAAAGCAGATGCATCTTGTTAGTATAGGTAGTACCAATTAATTCTTATAAGTTATTCCCAACTGTACCGTCTCATACCAGCACAGTCTCTGGAATCCCTCTCTTTCGGGTGTTGATTCGATGCATTCATGTACCCCCGTCCCTAGAAGCCTGACAGGAGCCGCTCCTTGTCCATGCCCTTTCGCACCGGCGATTACTCCCCGCCCTCGTCAGCGCCCGGGATGTTACATGCCCACCAGCTTCCGCCTGGTTCGTCCTCAAACCACACCGTACTGGATGAGAGTCCCTGCTCTGATACCACTTGTAACGCCTGGAAACTTGCAAGGATTAACGACTGTCCCCACACACTAACACGATACTTTTCAGCGTGCTTTGTCCTCACTCGCACACTTCCCGGGAAAACTTCCCAGGAGGTCACCCATCCCAGAATTGCTCCAAGTCAAGCACGCTTAACTGTGGAGTTCTTCCGATCTGGGCTACCGAAAAGCAGATGCATCTTGTTAGTATAGGTAGTACCAATTAATTCTTATAAGCTATTCCCAACTGTACCGTCTCATACCAGCACAGTCTCTGGAATCCCTCTCTTTCGGGTGTTGATTCGATGCATTCATGTACCCCCGTCCCTAGAAGCCTGACAGGAGCCGCTCCTTGTCCATGCCCTTTCGCACCGGCGATCACTCCCCGCCCTCGTCAGCGCCCGGGATGTTACAATAAACATCCTTTTATAGACTAATTACAAATTGATCCAAAATTTGAAAATATAAAATCTTAAAAATAAGAAAAATTCATAACATAAATATAACGGTAACTAATTTTAAAAAATAAATAAATAATTACAATTAAATCATTCAAAACACATCCCAAATCTTAGATCTTAAATTATGTTAAATGTGTTTTTTTCCTTCTCTTACCAAACAAAACACAATCATATTTGTTGCTTTATTGGGACTTGGATTTAATTAGGGGTGTTCATCAACCGATCCAAACTGATTCAAACTGCAGTGACCGAACAGAAAAACCGATAACCGAATAAACCGATAACCGAATAAACCGAAAACCGAAAAACCGAATACCGATTAAAATCCGCAAATTTTAATTGGATTGGATCGGTTTTTGGATGGGTTGATGAAAACCGATCCAATATATTAATTTTCCTCTACCTACTTGGGTATTTCCCTAATCATAGCCTAAAAATTTATAAACCCAAGACTCATTAACCCATCAACTAAACCCAAGAAAAAATCTAGTCACATCTTATCAACAAAATTTTATCTTTATAGAGCTTCATATTTCATTGCCAAAATTAAAAAAATTATATTATAGTTTACTAATGCTTTTGTATTTCAAAAAAAAAAATTACAAAGCCAATATATACAAAAGATGTTATTTGCACAACAATCATGAAATAAATTTTAGGATTTTTAAAAAACCGAAAATCGATCCAATCCAAACCGAAAAAAATTGAATTGGATTGGATCGGATTTGAAAAAAAGATTATAACCGAATGGATGATTATATGATCAAACTGAAGAGATTGGATCGGATAATTTTTGGTTCCAAAATCGATCCAATCCAGACCGCAAACACTCCTAGATTTAATCATAATTTATTATATTTCAAATCATTGCTTCCTTCAACAATTGGACGGGTCATCTGTAACGAGCCAACTACAATTTGCATCATAATTACTCTATATTCCTCGGTGTCGTTTACATAATCAAGGCTTGAAATCGTGGGCGCCTACAAGTGACCATTCATTTCTTGTGTAATTAACCATTTTCATAGCAATCATATATTATATTCATAACTGGCGCCTACAATTGACTATTCATTACTTGTGTAATTAAGCACTTTCATAACAATTATATCTTATATTCATAACGTTTTGATTTTTTTCCATTTTAATCGCGCCTTTCGTTTTCACCGAAACACTGCACACTTCAAATCATCGACTTTGAGGCACTTCGCTTGGCTTTCATCATTGGAAAGATGTCTTCTCAAGGATGTGATCATAAGGGTTATGGCATCCACTTTTTCAAGGTTATTCTTGAAAGCAACATTCGAAATGGAGAGCTGGTAACAATTTATTTTCCATTCTTTTCTTTTCTACATAAAGAGTAACTTTATCTCTATGTAAATATGAACATGAAATTTTTATTTATGATTTTCAGGGCTCTATATTAATATGTGAAAATTTTAGTTTCTTAGTACTTCATACAAATCTATTTTGGTCATATATAACTTTTTTGGTTTATTATTTAATATTGAATGCATGCTAATTGACAAGAAGTGTGTGTGACAGAGAGTGCCAAGAAGTTTTGTGAGGAGATATTGGCAAGCAATATCAAACCCTGTTTGTCTAAGGCTTCCAAATAGCATTGAATGGAAAGTTTATTGGATGAAACGTGATGGTGATGTTTGGTTTCGCAATGGTTGGAAAGAATTTGCACAATACTTGTCTTTGGATGTGTCACAGTTTGTGGTGTTTCGTTATGAAGAAAATTCTCACTTTAATGTGATTATATTTGATAAGAGTGCTTTAGAAATAAAATACCCTTCTAGAGTTGCTGATGAAAAAAGTGAAGAGGTTGATGAGAGTGATTATTCTTTGAAAATTCTTGAGGATTGTTCACCATTCGAGGTTAAAAGGGAAAAATCTCCATCTTCTCGAACTCGTAAGAAGATGAAAATCAACCCAAAAGAAGAACAAGCTGATGCAGGTTTTGATAATACTAATAAACACATGGACAGTGGTTGGTATTCTTCTATGATTTTGTTCTGTTTTTTTTTTTACTTTTCCTGTCTTAATTTGGAATTGTGGTTACCTAATGCTTTCTGGGTTAATTACTGATTATCGTAGCAGGTAGTACAAGAGATCTTAAGAAGAGAATCAGAACTTTTCACGAGAAAGTGAAGAGGAATTTCCGCTCTGAGAATGATTTTTTCACTTGTGCAATCCAGAAAACAAGCACAGAAAGAGATAGCTTGGTAACAAAATATACTGTTGGATGATATTCATTATTCATTTTGGTTTGTGTTTATTATTAAATGTATGTTTCTATGCGTCACATGAGAATGTGAAAGGACAAAATTTGCTCCTTTCAAGTTTTCAATTTATAATATACACACACATACACAAGTCTGAAGTTGCTTCCTTTTGAAACTTTAAATACTTTAAGCTACTTGTTTTTGTTCTGAGCTCTGTCACTTTTAATTTTCTGGCAAAACCATTAATCAAAGCAGATCATACCAAACGAATTTTCTAAATCAAAGCTTCAAAGAAAGGAAGGAAATGCTACCCTTTTTGTTAACAAGGAAAGGACATGGAATGTCGAATTGAAGCTCTTTCACAATGGACAATTATCAGTTACCCGTGGTTGGAAGAAATTTTTCTTGGACAATAATTTGAAATTGGGTGATGTTTGTGCATTTGTGCTAAACAAAGGCAAAGGAGTTTCATTCAAAGTTGTTATTTTTGCTCTTGAAGAGGACTCAAGCACTCTACTCTTTAAAGGTATTTATTTTATTGATCTTACCGGTTACCATACTTCTTGTCAACTTGTTCTTTATTGTAACCATTCTTCTTATTTAATTTAATATCATTCCTTTAGTACCCTTCTTTAAAATTAGAGAAATATAATAATCATGTTACAGGAATGGTACTGTTCATTCCTGCAACTATTTTTTAACTATGTACTCCGTACTCCTGGAAGTACATAGTTAAAAAACAGTAACTTTAATATTAAAATGAGTTGCAGGATGTCCTGTTGTCCTGTTAGAGGTACAACCTTGGCACTGGTTGGGTTCTACCTAGGGGTGTCAAAACGGGTTGACACGACACGAATACATCAACACTAACATGACACGAATTTTTCTTCGTGTCAAAATCTTCAACACGACACGATACGAATAACACGCAAAATAGGGGTCAAAACGATAATTGACAAAAAAAATTTAAAAAAATGGATCAAAATTAAAAAAAATTAAAAAAAAATAATAATAAAAAATTAAAAAAAAAAATTTAAAAATACGGGTCGACACGAACACGAATACATTAACGCGACAAAAATTTGTTTCGTGTCATTTTTCCCAACACGACACGAATTTTTTTACGGGTTAACCCGAACACAAATTTTCGTGTCGTGTCGTGGGTCGACTTGCGTGTCAAAACCTATATTAACACCCCTAGTTCTATCGTGCTAAAATTATTTTCTGACTCCGCCAGTAGGTGTCTTGTTTCTATTGAATAGATGTACCAAGTAACTGAGTGTGACGATAGCACTTAAAATTTTTCCTTTCAGACAAGTTATGTGTTTCCCAAACTTTCCTTCTCTTTCCCCATTAATTAGACCTTTCATTCAAACATAACACAAGCAACATATACCTTTTCCCTTCAATTTTCATCTTTTCTAGCATGGACATTCTGAATTAAAGTTTCTCCTTTTACATTTTCCACATAATTCAATGCTTCAGACAAAGAGGGGCTTTCTCATAAGCCTTCTTCATTTCTTAAAACTCCTGAAACTCCTCAAACTAACAGAAGATTAATGTTGAAGAATGACTTCATCTTCTACGTCAAGCCTCCATTGCATATTGCGGTATGATCAACTTGAATAATGTATTATAAACAACACTATATATGATGGAATATTTTGATTGGCCACTCATGAACTAATTAAGTTAATGTTAATGCAGACAATACCAATCAACTTCGTTCGGAGTAACCTTACACATGGAAGATATGCAACCTTGCAAGTTGGGAAGAGATCATGGTCTGTAAAAGTGCTCTATTATGAATATACTTCCTGTGTTAAATTCTCTCGAGGTTGGCATGATTTTGTGAGGGATTGTAACTTGAAAGTTGGTGATGCTTGTCACTGTAAGATGATAGATGAAGAAAATTTTGTGCTTCAAGTTTCAATTTCAAGACGCACCTGTTAAGAGTTTCATGTCACTGTCACTGTGTCATGTTTTTACCATTTTTCCCCCAATGTTCTTTATTATATAGATTGGCATTGTTTTGGACACGGTCTTCTGCAATAACAGTAATTGTTTATATTTTATTCACTTTAATTTTGACACAATTCATAAATTTTCAAGCTATTAAGTTACAGGATATCCATAATAATTGTAACAATGATTGGATGTGTGAGCTTTTTTCATATATTCTTGAAAGGTAACTAGTATGCTGATCTTGTAAGCAAAGTAAACGAATTGTCTCTTTCAGTTTTGTTGTCTATGTTTCTGGTTGTCCTTTGTATTAGAGCTTAGTCTGTTTCTTCCATGTATTGCAAGAGATTAAAAATATATTTATCATACAATATAATATAATATCACTTATTAGGATTTGCTGTTATTTTTTCATTCAATTCTTTTTTAATTATTTTAGTTTCGCCTTGTTAGTTGGAAGTATCTTGATATTTAAGTTTATTTTAGTCTTTCTGGTTACTTTTTTGAGCATTTTTTTTTTTGATAAGTGAGCATATTTTTAATGTTAAGTAAGTATCTACTCTCTTATAAATAAATAAAATAAATAAAAAATGAGATATAGGTGGAAAAAACCATAAAGGTAAATATAATATAAATAAATTCTCTTTTTTCATATTTAAGAAATGATGTATCCGGGTATAAATATTTTCTACTTTTTTTATAAACTATTTTCTGAAATGTATAGTACAAAAACATTTTCCCTCTCCCTCCTAGTTTCCTTTCTCTTTTCTTCTCTCAGATTTCTTGTTTACAATAAAGTTCTTAAACTGATTAAAAAAATTATATTTATTAGTTCCATTCATAATTTCATTCGGTTGATATGATTTTTTGCTATGCAAGCTTACATGATAGTTGGCATTATATCGCCAAATTTTGGCGTATCAGTCCATCATAGCTATTATGGTTACAGAACTCATGTATTCACTTATTCTCATCCAGATGCTGCTACTTTCACATCTACACATATGATAAAATTTATGTTTACCTTGACCCACTTCAATTTTTTCTTGGGAGTTACTAATCTCATATTATTTGAGACAGTTATCTCATGTGTGAGATAAATATGTGGGGTCCACACTTTAAAACAAAAGCAAAAAGAAATGGAAAAAACTGACACAAAATTCGATGAGTGTATAATATGAAATAACTATCTCCAACAAAATGAGAAAAATATTTCACCTTTTTCTTATAGCTGCTAAAACAGTAAAACTGTAGAGCAAAAGGTTTAGGTTTACAAACTGTACGATCTAAAAGTAAAATCTCATCTTTTCATTTGTGTCGGTATCATATCATATCATTCAAAACCTCTCCTTTGTTTGGACGACAGATTAAGAAATCAAAATCTGGGATATGTACAATTAATATCTGTCAAATTCAGTAGCTACAGGAGCTGAATCAAATCGGTTTACTAACTATTCAAGAATTTATTGACCAATCATAATTCTTGTAAGAGATATTAACAGGACCACCATCACTTAAGAGATGTGTCAAAAGACCAGCTTTAGTTGCATCCAAATAAGTTATTATCCATTTCAGTATGTTTCTCTCTTGTCCGAAATCCATAGTGTACCTGCCAAAATAAATACTTCATAAGCAAAGTGGTAGAAATTGCAGGTCAAAACCAAGGCTACAGAAACTAACTGCATACCACTTCAAAATTGGAGTGAGATGAATGGTCCTCTTCTCCAGGTCCACTTCAATTCCATCATTCTCAAAGAACTCTCTAGCAGCACATCTCAATTCTTCAGCAACTCTATGGGGTGAGAAGAACCTCACATTTGGGCTCGACTTTGCGCCATTACAAAGTCCAAAATGAATTAACGGATTCATTTTGATAAGAGCAAGCTGCAGTTTGGTAGGAACAAGTTAATCTTTCTTCATATCCAATCATATTATAAATGACAGGAAGTTATTTCTATGAGATAGGAATTTACGAGGAGTAAAGAAAAAATGAATGAAAAAGGAAAACACAAAAGTTGAGGCTGCAGCACTGGTTTAATATTATTTGGGTGCATACTCAATATTATTTGTAAAAGGGTTGGATTCAAACTCATGACCTGTTTCTACTCCAAGCTCACCCTCTTTGGGTGCATACTCCATGTATATTATATATCTAAAGTCCAAGATTATATTCATCAATAGTAAGGATTAAACAAACCTACATGAAATTATCCAAAACTCAATGTTGAAAAACAATATACCTCTAAACGCCTGTCTTCTGTGCTAAAGGGCTTGACTAAGGAATATGGTGACCTCCGATTGCTTCTGAGGATACCATTTTTAATAGTACTAAGAGAATAAGGATGTCCTCCTATCAAATACTGGAAATCAGAGAAGGATCTCCTATTAATTACACCTTCTTGACACCCTACTCTAATAACAGCATGGACGACCATGGCATTATACAAATTTAGGAAGAAGGCAAGCTTCTCGTTTTCTGAAAGTTCCATGACATCCACCCGCTGCAGATCCTGGGTCATATTTACATACCTGCAGTTCAAAGGAAAAGAAGAAAAAATAACTTCAGGCACGTAAAAGATGATATAAGAAATTACAGTCTCCTGTCACCCTATGTTCTTTGCAAGTTCTCTATAAGCATATAAAAAGTATTTGCATGTTTGGACAAACTGAGAAGTTCTACTAGTATATGTGCTACATGCATAAAACTGATGCAAGGCATTTTAAAACAAAAAAAAGTTCTGCAGAAACTGATGCAAGGCAAAAACAAAAAAGTTCTGCAGAGACAACAAGAAGTCATCTTGTTTGAGCGCCACTCAGTTTGGGAAGTATTCTTACCATTATCACTATATGTTGGTTTATAATTTTTAATTTGATATCACAAGAAAAAGTCAATAACAAAGTCTAATTTCATTCATGTTTGTTTTAAGGAATGTAGAAATAAAGTATTACATATAGACAGGAAAGGTTTAAGAAGAGGAAAACAGGCACCAAGAATCACATTTCTAGTTGCCATAACATCCAGCATTTGCCTTAAAACAAGTTTACCGGCTATGCAAACAGCATGGGACCAAAGGTGGACCAAACAGCACAGGGACAAAGCAAATTTCTGAAAATAGTCAAAATCAAACATACATTCCCAAGTTGTTCGTTGAAAACCAAAATTGGCCAATTGAAATACATTAGTTTCAAAAAATTAATTAATTCAAACATACAGTTTGATTGGCAATTTACAAGATAATAAGTAGGTATAAAGTGAAAATCAGGCATTAGATAGAGAAAGAGCTTCTCAATTCGCACGTAATTCATGCAACCTTCTCCAAGTTGAATCGATGACACTAAATTTATAAATGTTGAAACAAATCCACAGAACATTTACATCCACAATATGCACCAAAATAAACAACGAAATATAAGTCTATTTATCTTAAAAGCATTCCCATACCTCCGAAATTCCTCGCTTTTGCTAATGGCACCATAATCAACATGTCTCCTGTCATCAGAAGCATAAGACTCAAGAATGGAATACATAATCTTGGTAAGCCTATCACAAACTGCAGCTGCAGTCTTCCGTTCACTATCATTTGTGGCACCACGGAAATTAAAGCATTTGGAGATAAACGGTTCATGCTCAAGGAATCGATAGAAGTGGTTTCCCTCCTCAAAATCATTTTCCCTACAGAAGAAAGTTGGCAATGACAAGAAGAAAATTACCAATGGAGTGTGGCTCATATATTAAAATGCTCGTGTGAGTATCATTAGTTTCAGAAGCTATTTTCTTACCCGAAAACAGGATGGATGAAGTGCTTCTTGCATAACTGTTTTCCAATCTCAACAGCCTAAACATTAGTTTTGGAATGAAAACCATTTAGGGGGAATATCAAAGTTAGAGAAACAAAATTTGGAACCAATGTTTGAAATTGCAAGATTAAAAACAACATATCATATTCACAAACTTCTAAATCATGCAATAGTAACAATGATGGCCATATTTTTTATTTTGATAATGAATTTTGCTAACTGTTGCACGGGCTAAAGCAATTTACTTTACAAAAATGGCTTGTAGGATTTTGTTAGCGAAGAATTGATGAAGCTATTGAGTCCCAACACTTTTATGACACACGAGGTTGGTTTATTATTCCTTAATTAACGGCTATCATAAGCCATCCCGTGGGTCATTATTAGTATTTTCTCTTTTACCAAAAGCTTGGCAATGCAAAGGGAAATGCATCATTATTTTCCGTTAAATACTCCACAAGGACACTGTTTTCTCCGCTGACTTATATTAATGTAAAGTGTGTGAGTAATTTAAATTTTTTTAAAACAATTTAAGTAAGTTGTATTTTATATTTTATAGAAAAGAGATTAACAAAACAGTGTAAACCCAGTACGTTAGGTCTTGACTTCAAGGACACTAGAAAAGCACATGTAAAAGAAATAATAAATTTATCTTGAAAATAAAAACCAATAAAGAAAAAATAAATGAATAAAAAAAACTTTATTAAACGGAGATCAAATAAGACAAATAAAATAATTCAAAAATAACCTGACATTTCATTATTTATCAAATATTCAAATGATAAATCATAAAATGAATGTTCTATCATCCTGTGTTTAGTTTTAAAAAATAATCAAAAATTGATAACGAGAAGACTGTGTCAAAACAATAAAGAGTTAATTCGAATTTAATTCTCAAAAAATTAATAGCATCAAAAATTAATTTCTAATCATTTATAGGTTTATCTTTTCTCTTGCGACACGATATGCATTTGTAAAAATCTCAAACGTGGATTCGAAGATGGATAGAATTAACGAAAATATTTTCATAAAATTCATATAATAAACAAAAAACAAATTTTTTAAAATATCATTCATTAATTCCTCATCATCTCCAAATAACGTAATTTAGAATTGTAAGAAATAATTTTATTTGTTATTAGATGGAAAAACATTATTTACATTTTTTTAATTTGAGGAATCCATAGGTCATATAACAGGAAAGTAAAAAAAAAATTCCTAAAGAAACAATATTTTGTGGGTCCCATGTATTATTTTTTCTTTCTCTTTATGTTTTTTTTCTCTCCCAAGAAATTGTCAGAAATTTTTTTATTTTCCTATTACATCATCAATGGATTACCCTTTTAATTTTACTTAGAAAGTTAAAGGATATTTTAAGGCTAAAGAATTATCCTCCAAGGTCAAAATGTCAAATCAAAAACTCCAAAAAAACATTCAATAGATAAAATTGACGTAATAAATGAAACAATGAATGAGCATCCTCCCTAGGCGTACAATTATACTACCGAAAAAGAAAAAGAAATACGTAGACATACGGTGTGTATGTAGAACGTAACGCACCTTGTTAGAAGCATAGCCATGGTGGTGAATGAGAAGCTCAACCAACTCGCTACCACTGAAGCAGTTCCTCACAATCCTCATCTTCATCAAACGGTCCTGAATCGGCAACCTCTGCCGCAACACCCTCACCACCTTCACCATCTCATCCTCCACCTCCTCCTCGGATATCTCGTCGAAACCGTACACCGGAGCCGCCGGAGCGTCGCCGGAAAACTTTCCGTTCGCCGCCGCGGACATCTCCATCAACCTCTTCTCGAAATCGCCTTCGCCGTTCTTCCTCAGCGCGTTCAGCTCCACCAATCCTCCGATTAGGTTCTCGTTGAAGAAAATCTTCGGCACCGTGGAACTCCCCGTTCTCTCTCGAAGCTCATTCTCTCGCTCATCGTACACGTCCACGTTGATTTCCACGAACCTCAACCCTCTCTCCCTCAAGAACCTCCGAACCGCAGCGCAGTCTCTGCAATTCGACCTCGAGAAGAAGCTGATTCGTCCCTTCGCGAACGACGCGTCGTTTTTCACCATCACAACGACCTTGAGGCCGGAGAGGCTGAACTCCGTCACGTCGTCGCTCTTCTTCTTGTTAAACGACTCGTCGTTTTTCTCGTCGATCGTGTGCTTCAGAGACGAGATCCCTCTCGAGATTGCGGACGACAGGTCGTTGCTGCGCTGGCGTAGGAACTTTCCGAATGTTGACGGAACGACGTCGTTTCTACGAGACGGGGGCACTGGCTTAGGGAGAAGTGAATGAGGCTGCACGATTGTGAGAGGAATGTTACCGTTGGCGTGATTTTCGGTAGAAGCAATATTTTGAATTCGGTTGGGTTTTTCGGTTGAGGATTCATCGGATGCGTTTTGAGTGTTTGTGTTTATAGCTTGTGTTGTTGTTGGGTTTGGAATAGGTTGTTGTTGTTGTTCTACTACTTCGGAACCCATTGAATTGGAGAATGGAATAAGTGTAGTAACGTTAGGATTGGGAAAAGGGTGGAGAGTGAAGAAAACGAGGTTGGAGTGAGAATGAGTGAAAATGTGAGGGGGGGTTTATAATGCGAAGGATTGGATGGATGGTTGAGTTGAGGAGAAATGGAGAATTGACAAATGGAGTAATTCAATTTGGGATATTGACAAAGATCAGGGTGGTGAATGGTACGAGGAAGAAGTCAGATAATAGGGGTAGAGACAGACGTGGTCTTTCTTCTTTTAAAAAGATTTGTACTTTTCAGAATTTTTTAGGGTAACGTAACCTGACACACAAATAATATTACGCACAATGTTACGATCACATCTTAACCGTTGATTTCTGTCAATCAACGGTTATCGTTTATTTTGAATTAATAATTAATTAATGAGTTTGATTTGAAAAATAATAACCGTTGATCGGCGGAAATCAACGATTAAGATATGATCGTAACATTATTTGTGTGTCACAATATCCTATCTCATTACTTAATAGGAGTAAATTAATTGGCTCTGAATTTGTGAATCACAAGAGCTGTGTGACAAACAAGGCTTCTTATTCAAATATTTTTTTATTTTTGTTTTGATATATTTGTCTTTTTCTTATAATTCTCAAAATATTAATTTTAATATATTTAAAAATTTTAATATACTTTGAGAAATTAAATTTTCTCAAATCAACTTTCTAATATCTTCTTTTTATTATTATTATTATTATAAGAAATTTAGTTCTCTCGAATTAACTTTACAATATTTTTGTAATTTAAATAAGAGTAAATATCTTTTTTAGTCCCTAACAAAAAAACACGGTCCCCACTTTAGTTCTTTACAAAAATAAATTAGTCAGTTAGTCCTAACAAATTCAAAGTGGACCCATTTAGTTGAAATCGTGATCCCTCACAAATTCAAAAAAGACACAAATTTGTATTTATGCTTGCTAAGTACCGTAAGTGTTAGTAAGGATATTTTAACACGTATATTACAAGATTACCTGTATAATAACTTAGACTGTTAAAATGAGTCATACATCATGGTCAATTTTTTAATATTTTAGAGTAATTGTTATATTTAGTTGTGTGTGTAATTTTCAATTCTTTTATTTGAGAAAGTCACACGGATAAGCCAATTATTTATTAATAATTTAAAAAACTTAAATTAAAATAGAGTTTAGATATTATTTAATCATTTAACTTATAAAGAAAACAAGGCAAAGAGTGCTAGCGAGAGTTATTTACCATATAATGTTCATTTTATTCACACTTAGAGGAAGGAAAATTGATCCACTAGCGTTTAGCCTAGTGGTGGGGGGTGTGTGAGTCAGGTATATGTAGTGTAAGGGTGTATGTTCAATTTTCATGTAATGTAAAAAAGAGGAAGGAAAATTGTCGGGCAAATTTAACTTATTTACCATATAATATTGATTCTTCGTTATCACCCTGGTTGGTTGTAAGCTTTTCTTAGACCTTAGCAAATTCTAGTTTTTTTAAAAAAAATAAAAAAAAAGTAAAAAAATCTAAGAGTTTCTAACCATTTTGATCGGTTAAATTTCAGAAATTGACCTGTTACTGTGAAACACGGAGTCGCTATTTTCTTTGAATTGTGCGTATCGGACACGGACACACTTCGACACGCGTTCGACACGCGGTCAATATTTTGAGACACGTGGTCAATGCTCGGACACGCTTCGACACTTTTTTGGACACGCAGTCAACTTTTTCGGACACGTGATCAACGGTTGGACACTTTTTTTTTTAGTCTTAATTTTATTTTATTAACTAAAATTTAAAAAAAAATTATTTATAAATAAATTTTTTTCTGTTATGAAATTTGACATGAAAAATTAACAAGGTACGAAAAATTATTTTTGTTTATATTTATGCTATGAAATTTGAATATTTGATCGGTTATATGACTTATTATTTGAATATTATTTAATATCAAAACGTGTCGAAATATGTCATTTTTAAGAATTAACGTCTCGACGTGTCGTGTCCCGTGTCCCGTGTCAGTGCATCATAGGTTCAAAAGATAGTGGTTTGATTTGTGAGAATCTTAATTTTTGAAAAAAATAAAAATAAAAATTGGATTAGTCAGGTTTATTAGCATTTCAAACATTAATTAATATTAAGAAATAAGAAGAAAGAAAAAATAATGTATTGACTGAGTTGCTAAATGAGGTTTAGGGTTACTGAAAATAACTTTTTTTTTTCTAGTGATTTTTGTGGGTCTTCCATATGGTTTAGTAAATGCTTCTTCCATATGATTTTTTCTGTCGTTTGCGCTTTCAGTCAAAAACAAAAAATATGGATGTTATTATTATTTTCTAAGCAATTCATTAATAAAAATAAATAAATTAAACAAAAGCTAAAGAACAAAACTAAGCCTATGTCAGTGTCAGTCCAATCCAAACGCGCAAATGGAATGATATACCCAATGTGTTCCCAACCGAAAGGGACACGACACGCAGTAACGGAAATCACCAACTGATGCTGGCGGAGACAGCACCAATCGAAACAACATTAGGGCCCTCTGAGGAGATTTTTCGGTCGGAGTGACGAAGATACCCTTTTGGGATGTACCAATTTTGGTATAGCCAGCAAAACGCGGCTCAAGGGGCCAATCTATCCTACCAGCTAAACCAGGTGGGACAAATTCATTTTTTGGGAAATTGATGGAGGACATAGATGGATCGAAGCGGATCAATGTAAAATAGGTTCAGATTGGCGTACCAACCTGCCTAGTCTGTCAAACGGAATGAGACAGATCGAATTTTTTAGCCCACCTTAAAAAATGAATGGGACAGGCTGACTCATTTTTTGACTGATAAATAACGAGTTGGGGCAGAAAGGAACGGGCCATCTAGTTTACCACATCTAAATATTGATGATGGAGCAAATGAATTGTATGCAAACAAGGGCATGTTTGTAGTTTTGCTATCATGGAACATGGCGATAATCCAGGGAGTAGAGAATGGTTGATTGAGTTGAAGTGTTGACAAGGGCAAAGAGTCAAAAGAATAGATGACCAAATTACATTAATTTGGGTCCAAGTGGGGACTTTGTGTGAAATTAGGACTACTTCCATCTTAGTTCATTTTTCTTTAAGCCACAATCAAAGGTCAGCAGCACAAGGTTTGGGGAATTGGCACAACAAACCGACTCAATTCTGAATTCAATTAACACTCTAACAGTATTATCATAATGAGCGTTTGGCTGATTGACCAACATGGTATAAAACAAAATTATCAAAAAATAAAAATTTGCAAGAGTTTGTACACGTGACATATTATGAGCATGCTTGATACCTTTTTTTTAAAAATTAAAAGTTAATTTTAACGTAAAATTTTAAAAAAAATTATTTGATGATTATATCAAAAAATTTGTATCAAAGTTGTTCATTTAAAAAAACCTGTTCATTTCCAAAAAAAAATTGATACAACTTAAAAAAAAGTTTATCTTATGAGTTTTTTGGCTTTTGATTTTTTTTTTTCATTATTAAAAAAATTTATTATAAAATTTTTTGTAAAAATCTGTTTAGCTTAATTTTTGTTTTTAAAGAAAAGATAAGGTAAATGTTTTTTCGCAAATAGGCACTTTATGTATGAAGCGCTATGTAAAACGGCACTATTCCAAAAAAAAAAAAAAGACAAGACTGTTAAAGTGGACTAACATTTTTTATATGGTGTTGTCAAGCCGCCTAGAGTGTTAACGGACCGAGCCGAGCTGAGTTTTGGTCTTAAAAGATTAAGTCTGTATTTAAATGTGTCTGTCTGACCAAGCATGTTACTTGTTATAAATATAATTATCGGCTTGTGACCTGACTTATTTACAAAAAATAAAAGTCTGGTTTAGCCTGTTAGCCTGTTAAGAAAAAACAAGACAACAAAAATTTATCCAAACAGAATATACAATCAACAACACTAGTAATTCCATAAATATTCATAAATTCAATGTATATCCAAACAGTATAATATATAACAAATCATTCAAAAAGTCTGATTAACCAATAAAATAGAATGAAATGGATTGAGGAGAAAGAAAAAGTTATTACAAGTAGTATAAAAAATATAAAATATATATATATATAGGGATCTATTAATTTCATGTTGCATGAGATAATTATCTCATGCACCAGAGACAAGATAGTGGGGTCCACTATTTGGAAAAAAAAATAAAAAATAAAAAATAATGTGGATCTCACTACTTTGTCTCTGCAACACGAGATAATTATTTTCCATATATATATATATATATATATATATATATATATATATATATATATATATATATATATATATATATATATATATATATATACATACTAGGCCAGCTTGAGAGGCTCTAAGGCCGATTTTTTGAATTGGGAAGCTTTTTTATTAAACTAGTTTTTATACAAGTTCAAGCCTGGTGCCAACAACCAATTTTAGACATGTAAGCTCAAGTCTTCACGAGTCGAGCCAAAGGCTCCTGGTTCATTTAACACCCCTAACTCAAGCCGCAGCAACTTATTCCATATATAAACCTTTTAAAGCCTGTTTGAATAGGCTTTTAAAAAAGTGCTTTTTATACTTTCTTTATTTTAGAATTGTTTTTTATAAAAAATTAAAGTTATTTAGATTTATAAAAAATATTTGGCTTTTGAGTTTTACTTTTTTTAGAAGCTAAAATTTTTAACTTAAAAAATAAGCAAGTTTTTGGCTTTTTTTATTTATGACTTTTACTTTTTTTAAAACCAGACATCCAAATAAACTTTTTTAGAAAAGTGCCTTTTTTTAAAAAAAAAAAGTAGTTTTTGAAGAGAAATTTTTTTTATCCAAACGACGCCTTATTCTTATTTCACTTATACAATTCCTCTCCCTTGTGTAAACGTTTGTCGCTTGCAAGCTGTCAGTCGTATTTATATGTTCTTTTTATGCTTTTAATTTCATGTTATTGCATTATATTTCCGTCGCTCTCTCAATAATTTTTTCAACAAAATCTTACTCTAAATTTTAACAAAAACTTCAACCATTCCAACCAA